GAACACACCAAATCAAATTCCTGATGGTGGGTTTAGTTAAAAATCTGATTGTATGAATATAAGGAATTTTTTTAAACAGGAAAGTGCTGTATTTGCCCAATTAACTGAATTTGGCTGATTAGGCTCCCCACCTAGCCATTCCCTGAAGCCCGGCCCTTTCAGAGTACAGTAATGAGCTGGTAGTGAAGAAAAGAGATAAATATGGATGGCCAGACATTCTAATTTTGTTGGGAGAGATCAGAATTATTCCTCTATGTCTGTCACTCTCCATTTTTGTGTGCATGGAAACATACAAGGTGCAATCTGGATGCAAAATGGTCCCTGAATAGATTTCACACTGGATGCAAACTGGTCCCTGAATTAAATTTCAGATCAGTAAATTGGTTTTCTAATAACAGTGAGTGTTTTTTTCTTTTCAACCAGAGCAGTAAAGAATATGTATTTTACTACCTATGTGGAATAAGTCACTTTAAAAATATTTAAATGTATTTAATAACAATGTGTGTTTGCATATTCAATGTACAAGTTTAATTAATTATAATATAACTGCTTATCTAGCTGTAAGTAACCATGTAATAATAATCATTCAATTCTGCAAGAGAGAAAAAGAAGAAAAATATTCTTTATGAAACTTTGGACTTAGTGGGACCAACTTCTTATTTAATGGGACCAAGAATGGACCAATCATCTGATTTATGGGACCACTTCCTTCATGGCAATTAACACTCTTACTTATTTCTTTGCACCATTCAGTGCAGTCAGGGTTGTAAAATACAGCATTTTATTCTATCTTTTTCTAGCTGAGTTAGAACCTACAATAGACTTTGAGTTGGATAGGGAATCAAAAACAAGGAGTTACAAAAGAGAAGGAGGCAGAGTTGGAAGCAAAGTGTTATGTGGCAAAATGAAAAGGTTTCAGAAGTTGTTTGTTCTTAAATTGGAGTCATAGATGGTACAAAGTTAAAGGACTATGACAGATAGTGAGAGGATTTAATCAAGTTCTTGGATTATTATTTGAAATATGGAAATAGCTAGAATATATTTATCTCTCTCTCTCTCTCCCTCCCTCCCTCCCTCCCTCCCTCCCTCTCCCTCTCCCCCTCCCCCTCTCTCTCAGGGCTTAAGAATTTAAATAATAAAATCTGATTTCTTTCTTTCCAGATACATTGGCCAAATTAAAAGGAGCTGGGATTTCTTTTCAATGTTTTCTAGCAAATGAAAGTAAAATAATGGAACAGCAGCTTATGTCCGAATAGTTCCTGGGCATTTTGTAGGAGAGGTTTGGAAGGGTGGAAAATGACAATAGATGCATGTCATTGTCATGCTGCTGGTACAATTTACCTGTGAAAAAGAAAGGACACAAATATATAATGTGAGATTTGTCTGATGGCATCATGAGCATGTTGTCATTTTGGCCTGACCATGCTTTGCTACAGCGGCTGCTAAGGAATATTTTTGCATCCTGATAACTTCTCCAAGACATAGTTCCCCTCAATGTTTGCTTGTTGAGACTTATCTGTCCTCCTTGTCTTTAAAATGAAATTAAGGCAGCTGACTATCAGACCTCAAAAAACACAAAATATTTTTCCCCTTAACAACTGAAACAAAACTAAGCAGTGTGGTTAACAGTCTTCAAAAGTTGGCACCAAATCTAGGTCAGTGATTAGTTGACTTGATAAAACAGATGATATTGTTGTTGTTTTCTCCTTAAACTGTTTATCGACATCTCTGGCTGGAAAAGACCACCATTGTGCTGGCTTTACTGCAGCTCTTAGATGGAATTGTATCTTGCTTTCCATGGGCAGCTAACTTTCTCTGTTGTTCATGCCACAAGAAAGATCTGTGTGGGGAGAAATTCCACCAATGCTTTGAGAGCAAGAAAATCACTAAGCAGCAGCAGTTTAGATTAAAACCCAGAAGTTCAAGGAATGACCTCATCTGTTTGTTTTGCTGGAGAGGATTTGCAAGCTGGTATGATCCTGTGAACTCCCTAGGTGATTCATGCCAAAGCAAGCAGTCTACCTTGTATCCTTCCATCGTCATTACCTTCAACAAGGCAATGTGTTTCTTAGCCAGGGTTCTGTTCCAGGAAGCCACCCAACCTAAAGCTGGAAAGTGCAAGTCTTTTTGAGATTTGTGAGGCCAGATATGGGCTTGTACTGCATTAAGCACAGAGCTAGGCAAAGGAAGGTCAAATTTCAATCAGCTCCAGGCAGAATAGTCAAAGACAGATGTTATGGAGGTTAAACTCCAAAAGCATCTGAAAGGCACCCTGCTGTTTTCTTCTGACTGGCTCAGCCACCAGCACCATTCATATCTGATCATTTTTTTCTGAATGTGATAGAAGGGGACTTGCCCAATGGGTGTGGCCAGTGGTTCCTATGAATTACAGATGGAAGCAGGAGCTCATGCATGCACTTTAGCATCCTTTGCTCATAAATTGGATGCCTTTATCCATTTTTAAATGATATTTTTAATTGACCGTTTTAAAGGAAAAAAGAAAGGCAGAAACAGAAGAATAAAAACACAAAGCAAATAAACATGAGATTTACAAGCATCACATGAGTAAATAAAGTATACATCCTGAGGATAAAGTTTAATTCTAAATATTTATATTTCCTATTCTAAATTGCTCCTCTCCGTATCCTATGTCATTTTGAAAATATCATTATTCAAATTGATGAAATTAATGTGAAAAATTAGTCCTATCTTGTAAAAAATCTATTTTGATTTACAAAATCATTTATGCCTTAAATAAGACGAGCCTAGACTTCAGATATGGTATGTGTCCATGGGTGGAATTATAGTCCAAACCTAGTTTCTACATTAAATTCTGGGTCAGATTTATTTTTAAAATGTGAAGTTACCTTAGACAATGAAACCTCCTCTATTTGCTCTTTATCTGCCATAGGAATTGTATGTATTTTCTAATGAGAAATGTAAGGTATCCTACTACATGCTGTTGGCATGTACAAAAGTAATTTGATATGCTCTGTAGAAATAAGTTTTAGTAATATTTAATAAAAAGATTGCAAGTTGGAAAGGAAATTCAGCTTTTAGAATCAATTTCATTCTGTTATAGATCTTCTTTCAAATTTCCTGGGATTTACTACATTGCCATTAATATGAGGACAAGATCTAACCTGATAGTTACATTTCCCAGACATTTTTTAGAAAATGTATTACCATTTAATAACCCATACTGGAGTGGTATATTATTTGCGATACATTTTATACCAGTTTTCTGTAAGTGTGATATTTAGCACTAATTTTTTGATTCCACTGAAATTCCCACTGTTGTGCATATTGTTTTCAGTGCTACATCCATTTAGTTATACAATTTTTAAATTATGTTTCCAAATCATATTTCCTTAGCCATTTTAAATAAGGCCCAACAAATGTTTCAAATTTTGTATTGCATGGTTTTCAAATTCAGCTGAGTCTTGAAGCATTCAGGCTTGTTTTTGTAATTCCTTTAGAAAAATACTGTTTGGTAGAAGGTATTTCTGTGCATTCTGAAGGCAACAAAACTAAGTTAATCTATGTAACATTGCCCAGCACATGTAAACATATGCTGAAAAGAAAATGGTATTTTCAGGTTGTGTAAGAAATAATATGCTAGAATGTTAAAACTATGGGAAGTTTTATTTTCCCTGTTTAAATGTTGGGACATCCATCATTCCTTCCATTTATTTTGCAAGAGAATTAGCAAGCAACACAACTAAACAGACTGTCAATCCTGAAAAGTTGGTTAGCTAATTTTGTGATAATTTGTAAATTGATTTGAGTCTGATAGCTATGTTATTATAGAATAGGGTTGTACAAGACTCTAGACCCAGTTCCAAGACTACTATGAAGAATATAACACCTGTTTCTACTTTTTAAACCACTTGTGACTTTTCCAAACCATGTGTTCCCAGGAAAAGATGCAGTTGTTTTAGAGTTGTAGATAGGTGATGCTGTACACTCCAAATTCAACTTTGGTCAGAACAGTATACACTACATTTTTCAGTACACTGTATATAGGTTAGGTCACCAGTAGATGTAATTGCATCAAAGAAAAACAATGCATCTTCGCTAAGATAGTTAGGATCACTTCCGGAATTACAGCTAAAATAGCTCTTTCATTCCAAGTTTCATACAATGTATATTTATTGCAAACAATAATATACAAAAAGGTAAGTTTTACAGAGACCCAAAGGGTTTGCAAACAAAATGACTGAAAAAAGTGTTCTTTTATCTAAAACTAATCTTTTTGAAAGGACATTAAATTACAGAAATACTTTCAACAGATCTGCTTTTTTAATATAGAAGTAGAAAAGATACCATATGATAAGAGTGCTTTAAGCTTTTCTTCTACTGAATTCCCTACAAAATAATTAGCAAATATAACATTTTAAAATAAAAAGAAGTTGGCTAACTTTTTCCAAAAGCAATATTTTAACTGTTTGGCGACAAGTTCACCAGTGTTGCTTTCTCTAATTTTCCTCCCAAATGAAGTGAAAAGCACATTGAGAAGCATCCATTGTCTGGAGGTTCCAGCAGCATCCATTTCTATGGCACCTTCAAGAGACAGATAAAGCCCTAATGGAAATGTGCCACTCCCTGCTTTGTTGGTTTACATTCAATGTTGCTTTGCTTCACTTGGGCAGAATAATAGGCCTACCCAGAGAAAAGAGGTGGAACCTTAAGACGATACAGTGGATTGGACCACTTTGGATAGCAATTTAGGGAATTGGTTGAATGTTCCTTCATGAAAAATGAAACCCCTGCAAGTCAGACATCCGCATGCAAAGGAAGGTTTGCTGATTGGCTTTAACCTGGGAGATTTTTCACGAACGAAAGAGTGATTCAAGCCCACTCTTACCTTCTGTGCTCTCCATACTGTTCCATTAATTTAGTCCGGATCCAAATCATAAGTCCAAAAGTATTCAGTCAGAAATAACTCAGTGATACATTAATTAGCCATGGTTTGTTTGTACAATGAGAAAAACAACAAAAAAGCTTTCCAGTTTATTCTTACCAAAGCATAGAAAAGATAGAAAGACAAACAGAAGCAGGTATTTGTACAAACCTAAGACACATTCCGAAGGAATAATAAAATACAAAAACAAAGACTGAGAGATAAATAAAGGGTTATTGATTTAGACCATAATTTAACAATTAGGCACCATATACCCTCTGAGTAAGATGCTGGTATTTCTGTTTACATTACAAAGATTTCTAATGTGGAAGGGGGAAATTGGAAAAAACAACCCTCTTGATTAAAAACATCTTTTTCACAAAATAAATATATATAATTTTAAAAGAAGAAAAACCACCTACTACTGTCATCCATGAACCTTGCTAAAGCTGGTGTCCCTGTGTCATTCCCATCTTCTTTTGTAAGCTGTCTTCATGGAATAAAGCATTTTAGCTTTTCATGCAATTTACAGGGAAGACTCTTGGTTTTTTGAGTGACCGCAATTTGTCTTACAAATGTTGGTCTGGTGTTGGAAGCTGAAGAAAAAGGATCAAGGCAGAGAATGCTGGTTCTGGCTTTATAACTTGGTGCTTGTAGTTGCAAATAAAATATTAATTAAAAATCTTCATGTAAAACTGAGCTCTCTTCTTGGGAGTTCCATATTTTTCCTTGGTAGGACGGAAGATAATTGTGCAAGTCTTTTGGAAGATTTCACAGGATTTTTCTTTAAGGCGTCTGATAGTGTTATTTTAAGGCTCAAGGTATCCTTGCTTTTTTATTAATCTTTTTTTCTCCCTGTATTTCATTTCCATGCTAGAAAAATAAAAGTCTATTTCCAAATTCCCACAATCATGTTAATGGGCACTTCTTTCATTTCCTCAAAATTTCCTTTTCCTTGATTTTTAATGCACACATTTTAGTCTCTAAAAGTGACTGTTAACTATAGAAAAATACCTCTGACAGCAGGGAAAAAAGCTAAGGCATATTCTTTTGCTAAGTGTGGTTCAACTGTACCCCCCCACCCCCCAAAAAGGAAAAATAAGTTTTTTAAAGTTTCTCTAAAAACAAGTACGTATAAATTCCATCATATCGGTAACAAATCATACACAATACATACTAGAAAATATTTAAAATAGAGAGTATTCCTCACAGAGGAATACTTTTGAGTGTATATTTTTTTCATTTTTTTGTTCTTAGTTATTGTTAAAAAAATAATTAACAAGTTCATACCTATGCAAGCTAAGATGGCTGTTCGGAAAAAAAATAAAAAACTGCCTTCAAATCAAAGGAAGTCCACCATGGAATGTTTCTTGACTGAGAATAATCTGGTCAGTTTTGAAGGGGTGCTGTAGTGCACAATGCATTCTGGGATATTTTTTTTCCTCTCTTCCATTCACTTTTAGCTTAAAAATATATTTGTAAGTCTGGGGAATTGACACCATCCTTCAGAACTCTATGGTCTGGTGAGCTGTGTATAGACTGGCTGTTCCCAGTGCTGTGGGCTATGGGTTTGAGGAATGGAAGGTACCCCCGTAGTGTCTGCAATTGGGGTGTACATGGGCCTCTGGGTGGGGTTCATGTAAGTGAATGTAGAATAAAGGCTGGAACTCTGGCTGGCAGCATGGCTGTAGTAGGTATTGGAGCTCTGATGGTCTGTGTAGTCATACTGGGAGCGAGTGATGGTCGGGTAGGAAGAGCCATAGTGCTGGAGATTGAAGGAACTGTAGCTGATCTGCTGAGGTGAATGCTGCTGTTGGTCAGTGTAATGGCTGGGACTGAGCTGCTCGGTCTTAATGTGTGTCCTCTGCTGAGGCTGGCCTGGTTCACTACTCAGAGTAGTGAGTGTGTGCTGCGGCGGCGGCGGTGGTTGTGGCTGAGCTTGGGAAGGTGGCTGCTGAGAAGGCGGTGGCTGCTGCTGCTGCTTGGACATCCAGACGTGCCCAGTGCCTGCTGGGGTAGCTGTGGTGCTACTGATCCCGTAGCTGCCTGTGTAGGTGACCTGGCCAGGCTGGCCATGGGTGACCGGAACTCCTGGGTGGCCATTGGGGGGGAGATACTGGTCAAACTCATTAACATCAAAAGTCTCAATGTTAGAGATGACATCACTGCTGAGTTCCCCAATGTCCACGTCTCGGAAGTCAATATGAGGTGGCTGTCTTGCTCCTTCTTGCAGAGGGCGACCTTCACGCTTCAGGTCCTGCTTGCCAGGCTGGACATCTGTTTTAGGAGTGGTAGGAGGAGTAGGTGGCCCTTGAGATTGCCCTGTAAGGAATACAAAGTAGATAGTAGTTGTTACCAAAGGGGGCAGGTTCTCTTTGATGCCTTTGAAGTCACAGGGCAAGCAAGCCACACCTGGGTCTCTTTCCCTTCTGATAACAGGCACAGCCAGAGGGCCATAAAGCTCCCACCAGTGGCCACTTTTAATGAGCAGAAGGTGTTGCATGGCAGTGATAACTTAGCTAAAGATTAACTCTGGCTGGATGCAAAGGAGACGATGGAGAACTTGCCAATAAGAATGAAGTACCAGTGCAGATTGTTGCATGTAGTTGAAAACTGGCTGCTTTATACAATAACAGATGTTTATAGTTTACAAGGGGTGGTAATACACTGAGATGAAAACTAAGACTTAGTACTACTGGTGGAATAGCTTAGCAAAGCAATGAAGCTGACATTTATTTATTTATTTATTTGTCAATTGCTTACAAGATAATCAGCATAAGTAAAAATATTGTTATGAATACATGGATACATATTTTATATATATATATATATATATATATATATATATATATATATATATATATATA